ACTTCGTGGTACTTCGTTACCAGAAAAAAGAAAAATATGCTCACCTCTTAACACCAAATTAATAACTAATATTATTTATGACACATAAGCCCTTTTGAAATACTGCTTGTCTGCTTGGGCACAAGAAATTACAGTTGGTAAACTTTGCAAAATTGAAAATCAGATGTTTACTTCATGGCACTTGGTTACCAGAAAATGCCCACGTCTCTTAGCAACAGATTAACAACAAATATTGTTATTGTTCAAAAAACATAAGATTTCTTCTGCTCTTTTGAAATACTGCTCATCTTACAGTACTTACTATTTAACAAGTAAATTTTGCATAAAAATGAAAATGTTTCTTTTTTTGTCATTGGTGGTAAATATAAACATTTAACACAAAAGTAAAAAAGTAAAAATCTTGTCTGCTTAGACACAAGAAACTTACGGTTAGTAAATTTTGCAAAAGTAAAAATCTGAAGTTCACTTCGTGGCACTTCGCTACCAGAAAACATGGTCATCTCTTAGCAACAGATTAACAACAAATATTGTTATTGTTCAAAAACATAAGCATTTTAGCATTATTTTAGCCTTGCTTAACAAGTGAAATAAGAGAAATATTGAGGCTTTTATTTTGAAATTTTCCATAAGCTTCATTTTAAAAGGCCTCATTAATCCCTTGTGTAACAGTGGTTGGTTTAAACCAGTCATATGATGCCCAAAACACCAAATACCTGTTGTGAAAAATGTGAAGGCTTTTATTTTGTCGGGTATGTGTTGCTCTTATTTTGACACACACAAAGTGGTTGTCAGTTTAGGTTTCAAGAGTCATAAGGAACTTACTTCCTTTGCTCTTTCTGCCATCTTGTCTGTAGTAAGTGTTCCTGTATAAAGATGGCATCTCTGTAGTTCTCTACACCTCTGCCCTCCTCAGTGTTCTGTTGCTATGGTGATTATTCTACTTCTGTTTTGAGTCTGACACAAGACAGTGTCAGTTAGAATCTGTTTTGATTTGAATTTGGCTCGTTTTTTTCTTATGTCGCCATGGTTACTCAAAATGCCAAAGAAAGAACTGGCATTTCTCATTTCTTTTTTCTTCCCCCCCCCCCCTCAGTTGCTTTTGCAGGTTTGGGTTTCACAGCGCTGTACATCGCAGGAAAGCTGCGCTGCTTCAGTCCGGCTGGCCAAGGCAGAGCATGGCGGCTATGTGCCTTCCTCACGCCTTTGCTCATCGCAGCTGTAATCGCTCTTTCCAGAACCTGCGACTACAAGCACCACTGGCAAGGTCAGAGTTTCTGGGCTAGAAAGTATAACTTCAACATGTGCTTCTGAAAATGATACTCAGGGAATAACATTACACTAAACCTTTTAAAAAAGTATTGTAGGTAAATACAACGGTATGGAGTGGAAGGAGAAAACAAGTTCCAAAACTGGAGATGACGCTGTGGATAAAACAGGAAAAGTCATGTCACCAGTTTGGCAGAATTTCAGATATTTTAAACAAAAAGCTAGTCAATAATTATCAGTTCAACTATATGAAACGCATATTGTGTTATGCTTTTCAGCTGTAAGGTCCAGCCTTAGTTTGAACATGTAATTAAGCTTTGTAAATGATCAAGTGTTTATTTAATTATTTGAGATGGATTTCAACCACCTTTATTTTAAAAAATGCTTGTTTTTGCTTTTCTTTTATAATACTAGTGAGACAAATCAAGCTTCTTAAAGATGAATTAGAACGGCTTGATTTTCAGTATTTACTTTTTTTTTTAAATGGGAAACTTAAATGAGAAATGATTCAATATTTAATATTAAAAAAGGTTTAAAACATTTTTGTAGCATCCAGTAAATTTTGAGAAAGCCAGAAGTGATAGTTAAATAATGATTTATTAAAGCCGTACATATGTTCATCAACCTACGTAAGAGTTGGACAACAAGAAATAAAAATTACAGCTGTTTTTACCATCCATTATTATCCACAGCCCATCACATTTGCACAATCCTTTCCATTAACACAGAAATCACAGATTTCAATCCCAGTTCCTTTGTTCCCTTATCGACTGAAGCTAAAATTTAGTTGCTTTCTTTTTTTTATGTTTTATGTTAACTATAGCTACCTCAATAAGAAAGTTACCAAAATAAAAGCATAAACCCTTAAAGGTAGTTACAATAAGCAAACATAAATGCACTGATCTGGTTTTTACAAAAGGTTTTTCTGAGGCTGAAGAGGAAGCACTTCAGACTGTTCAGACTTAACTTGGGAATCATTGACAAAATCAGGAAGTTATAAATTAAACAAGCAAAGTGTGATTTTCAGCCTGACTCGTCGCTCTCGTCCTCCATGCAGATGTGTTAGTCGGGTCCATGTTGGGTCTGGCCTTCGCCTGGCTCTGCTACAGGCAGCACTTTCCTCCGCTTCAGGACCCGGACTCCCACAGACCGATCCGTCAGAGAGAGACTGTTCCCGTGGCGCAGGAGCGCAAGTTGGCCAACTCCACCTTCCTCTTGCCTCTGTAGAGCCGCTGCGACCTGAACGCTTTCCATGGGATTACAAGGAGATCCGTGGAGTTACGGTTTTCAGAATGACTGGGATGGAAACTTTGTTAGTGTTTATATTTATTGTTGGTTATTACCGCTGCAGCTTTTGAAGTTTCTATGATTGTGAATGAATTGATTACCAAATCATCAACAGTTCTATTAGGCAAACTGAAAAGTGTCATAACATACCGGATATTTTAGTTTCATGGTTCGACTTGAGTCTCCACCTGGCCCAGTTCTGTGCCTTCAGGTTACAACAACTGAGCCAATTTAACTACACAACCACTGCAGTAGAAGCTTAACTGCATTAGCCATTATTTGGTGACTTGATTGTTTATCTTGCAACTTTTTAAATAAGCAGATAAGCAGACACTAGATCTAATTTATTTCCATTAGTCTTTATTCTTGACTGAGTAGAAGATTTGTGGTTTTAAGGGTCTGTTCCATAACAATGCAGATCTTTTGAATCTACTTCAGTGGTCTTCTGGTATTGAAGTGGTCGCAACACTGCAAAAACACAAAAACTTACCAAGTATTTTTGATCTAGTTTCCAATCAAATATCTTAGTCCACTTGAAATAAGACTAAACTAACTTACAAGTAACTTTTCAGCTACATATAGAAGCTTGTTTTCAATAAATAATTGCTTACTATTGATGAACAATTACTAGTTCTATAACATGGAAAATTTTTCCATGTTATAAGTGAAATAATCGACCAGTGGAATTAGCATATTTTGATCAACAATAAGGAATTATTGACTTAAAACAAGCTCCTATATCTTGCTGAAAAGTTACTTGTAAGATAGTTTTAACTTATTTCAAGTATACTAAGATATCTAGACAAAGAAAATTCTTAAGATTTTGTGTTTTTGCAGTGAACAATCAGGATCAGAAACATTATGCTCAGATTTTTCTCTGTTCATCATTTCTGACTCAAAGTAGCCAAAGCAAAACCCTGAAAATTTGCAGGATATTGCCAACTTTTTGTGAAAGTATTTTTTTTTTTTTTCCTTTAAGGACAGTGACATGCTGTAAATTGATCTAAAAGCAACTGGGACCTTTTTAGCTAGCGTTTTCCACATCTTCTCTTTAAGACACATATATCATCATTTTCTGTTCAGGTTTGTTGCTTCAACACAAAGATAATGTTTGTAAAGCCTGTTTCTTGAATTTCAGTAGGGTGGTGATTTGCCCAGTGAGGATTTCCAGGAGAAATGCAGTGAAATGTCTTCTCCTTCATTTAACTCAGACACAGAGAAAGGAAGGATTATTGTTAAAGTAAATCATTTTCTTTCTTTATTAGCTCAAAGCTCAACAAAAACATCTCCAATCACATTAATGGTCTGACTGTTTACTCCCTGTTTTGTATTGAATTATTGATTTTTGTAATCCTCGAGTAAAACTGTTCTAACGAAAGAGAGGTTTTGTTGGGAGAGGAAAAATCCATCTTCTTTATCAGTGTTTACTTCCCCAGTGCTCATCCTGTTGACATATTCCCATTGAAAATGACCTCAATCAGTCATTATTGTTTTTTTATTGCTATCATCAGTCATAGATTAACAGGTTTTATAGACAGGACTGTTAGAGATAAGGACGTGACTGTGTATCTGCTTAGAAAAGCAGTGAAAAGAAAAATCATGACTTATGTTTCATACTTTTTTATGTTCATTTGCTCTGTAATGTGATATTGTTACGTGAGAATCTAGTGTAAGCAGAGCTGAATTATAGGAATCATTTTATGTGAAAAGGAAGGGAAATGGGAGGAAAGTAATTTTAGTAGTTTGTTTCCTTCAAAGGTAGATTTGTGATTTAGATAAGTAGTGCAGCGCTGGGACTGTTTTCAGCCACAGATTGATGCACATTTCATTCGTTAAGACTTAAGCCACAAAAGTAGTTGGTTTCTTGAATAATTGATGACTCAAAATTAGTCGCACTCTTTTATTATCCATCCGTTTTGTTTCGTCAGCAGGTCTCGTTTATTGCTGCCTTTGTTTGTGTTGCTTTGAATCTTTCTGTTTTGCTTTAGTATTTCTTGAATGTTCATCATTCACTGTTGCTTTGTTTGTGTTTAATCTCTGGCTTCGTGTGCCAAACTCTTAGTACAACAAGCAAATGTAGCAGCACCACGCTGTGCTTCAGAGTTACTATAGTGCCTGCTGTAGTTTAACTTTAGTCTCTGCTTTAGCTGAACAGCCCAATGGATCATATTGTTACAGGGTTTTATGACTGTAAAGGGACTGTGAGGGAAACCTTTCCTTGTTTCAGTGAATCCAACACTTACTATAACTCTGGTTTTTGTTGACAGCTGGCTTTATGAATGAATTGTGGGGGGGTTTCTTGAAGCTGAAGAGAAATGCTCCTTGAGTTAGTTTTTGGTAGTAGGCATGGGTCGGTAAATTTGCATAATGTGACAACTTTATGCAAAAACACTACAATTTCAATGTAATAAACGAGAATCTAACACAAAAAAATTTAATTATGATCCGTTTTCTTCATATTTAAAAAACAAAACAAACAAAAAAACAACAACAATTAATAGTCCTGCTGAAATGTTGAATAAAAAATTAGTATGGATTTTCAAGTAAATGTGCTTACACGTTAGTCAGGCTATCTGCTCTGGGGCTACTTAGTTGGTTTCCACACCACAAAAATCAGTTTTTATTTTAGTGTTTGCTGCAACCAGAGAAATGTTTTGTCAGCCAGCTGACTGGCAGTGCAAAGCAACAGGTTGGAGAAGGGCAGAACTGAGTTATTCCATCTGCTCCAGCACTTTCTCTGTCTTCTCACTTAAACAATCAGTTTTTAACCTTTTTGTTTCCTTAACCTCTGCATATCTTGATACCACTAGCCGACCCATGCCTGCTGTGGAACCAGATCTTTGTACTGGACCCAACAGAGGTTGGACCTCTCCTGCTGGTCAGGTGCTGCAAAAAGCCAAAATGAAAATCTCACTTTTCATCTACTTTAGTTTTTCAAAACAGGAAACTGTTAACCTGTGTTTTTTTGCTTTGTTTTGTCCAGTTTTATTGTTACTTTTATTATTTTTCTGTCACGTTTTTGTGCTGTTGCTTAATTTTGTTGGCCTTTTTGTTACTCTAATTGTTTTTCTTGTGTTGGACCTCTTGTTACCGTCTGTGTAAAACCAGCCAAAGTTTGCAGGTTCTAAGCACGTCTGAGAGAATCACTGCACTCCGATCAGACTTGTCAGAAAATGAGTGACTTTGTGCCTTTGTTTACCACGTTACTTTACAGATCCTCGCACCATGAGCTCACCCTGGTATTTTACATGTACAGAACTCTGTGTTTCCATGTGGCATGCTGCCTTTCTTTACCTCAGAATAAAAATTATCAAATGTTATTTTTGATGGAGTCAAACGTGAATGTCCTAACATTAAAGGGACAAACCTCACTTTCAGACCTTAAATCGAAATACTAGCATATTTAATTTCATGGAATGTTTGACTTTACTTGAAAATATTTTTTTTTTTTACATGTGGTGATTATTAAATTAAGATTCGTATTCTAAGGCACTTTGGTTTTATATGTTAGGCTTCTTGATTTTGATAAAATTGTGCATGTTTTACAGTTGAACAGTATCTAATTTAACTCACGGCTCCCGTCCATTTGTTAGGCTTTTTGTGGTTTTCAGTTCATGTGTTTTGTATTGGATCAATGGAAACGGGATTATTCATAGAACTGCTTGTTAGCTTTAGGATCACAGCCAGATGTAGCTGCACATTCTGAGATAATGTCCTGTTTTTTGTTTTTAATTTTTATTTTTCTTCATGTTGTGACGCTTTCAATGAACACTTTACTGTGTTGGGGAAATAGTCCTGGTGTTTGCATATTTTCCTTTTTGGTAATTAACTGAAAATTAAAACCAGAGATGCATCTATTACAAAAACTGTCTAAATGTCTTTTTTTTTTTTTGTCTTTTGGTCAGTGACTAAAACTCTACATTTTACAAATAATATGTACATGTATATCATATGCACTGTTAAATTGGCAGGTTTTTTTCATACATCAATTTAAAATGTTTTTCACATATATTGGGACAATTTTCCTGTTCAATTGAAGTAAAACACATTTATTACAGTAAAAAATTAAAACAGATAATTTTTTCTACATCATAGAAAGTTGCCATGATAGAGTTGATCATGCACATTTAAGAGCCACTGAATATGCAGGTGCTATGAAGGAATTTTGCATTTTAAAGCTGTCCAATCGTGTATTTTATTTGCTTGTATAAAATTGGGACAAAAAAGATTCAGACATGGAACAGTTATGGAATTTATGTTTATTATTTTGACTTTTTTTGTTTTCTTATTTCATTTTTATCTAACATTTTACTTGTTCAAAAATAATAAACATTTCATTTAATTTCTTCTGTAACAGTTTGTACAATTAAGCCCAATTTTAACTTTTCATCTGAATATTTTAAACACTTAACTGTTAAGTTAAAAATGTTACAAATTACACTTAAAGGTGTTATATTTTATTTCCTTTGTTCATTTGCATTATTTAACTGAGTTAAGTACTTCTAAATTAAGTACATTTATCTGTTTATAACTGTTTCAGTGTATTTTACTTGTTCCTGGTAGGCGTGGTCTGAGAGCTCTGACGTAGCTGTATTCCTGGCCGTTGATTGGTTGGACGTGACGTGTGCAGTTGGCGCCAGATTTCTAACGCGGAACACAACAGCTGTCTGTGGCTGTGGAAACTGTTACACTGACTTTTGTCAGCTAAACTGAATTGGCTGAATTAGCTTCTCCACTCAGGCGTCTTACGGACTTTTATCAAGCTCGTCTCGTATTTAATCGCAATTTAAACATGTTTATCGCAGACATAAAGAAGGATTTTTATGAAGTTGTTGCCAACCAGGTAGGTTTTTCGGAACTGCTTGTTGGCTAACTAAGCTAGCGGCAGGCGGTAAGCTTGCTAGACGGTGTATAGTCAATTTTATGTGCTTTTGTTTGCATTTAGAGAGTCGCCCTCCTGGTTGCAGCGGACATCGATGGTCTCTGCGCCTGTAAGATACTGCAGGTAAGGGGAAGAGTCGTGTCAGCTTGAATTAGCTACTGTAGTCATAACAAAGGACACCTTCTTAAACTTTATATCATGATAACAAATACATGAAGAAATCTGACTGTCCTCATGCTTAGTGTTTTAAGACTTGACAAATATGTTTGTTTTTAAATTATGTTTAAGCTGTGTGCATATTTAAATGTGGAGTAACTTTTCCATACACAAATCAAAAAAGGAAAAAATGATGAAAAAAAAACAAAAGACAAAACAACTACAGAAATACATTAACAATGTTTAAATTTCCGTCAATAGCAAGAACTTGGTGAAAAGTGGAAATAGATTCAGAGATCACACAAATCCAGTATTAGTACAGTTAAGCTTATTGAAACTTCATGAATTGATTGAATTAAATATTTTAAAATGTATGTACAAAGCGCATATACATAATAATATTCAACACAATTTTGTAAAGAGAAGACAAATTTATGGTTCTGAAATAAAAAAAAAATAGATTCAGAGCAACAACGATGGATAGATGCATTTCAATTTAGCATTTCAGATGCCAGTTTACGAAACAACGTTAACAATGAGATAAAACAATCTAAATCTGTTTCTGCTTTTCAAAGAAATTGTAAAATTATTTTTGAAGTGATTATTTTTGAGTAAACTGAAGTTTTATTGTGTATTTTTGTGTGTTTGAAATATATTTGTAATAGTCTTCTGAGCTGAGTAGCTTTTCTTTTATGTGAATTGATGGGAAAATATTATAAGTTTGTACTTTATGCTCTTTTTCATTAGTGATTTCTTTTTAGATATTGAATTAACTATTTATTGAGTTAATGAAATACAAAATAAAGTGATTGAAAATAAACACAGCCTGGCAGCTGCCAGGCTTACAATTCATACCAATCAGTGTAAGTATGAATCAGCAGATTAGCATGTGTAGGTTTGCCTGATGTTTTGTCTAAAGATAAATTATTATTGTTTATTTGAGGATTAATGGGAGGCTTTTCTAGGCGCTGTTTCACTGTGATCAGATCCAGTACACTCTGGTACCAGTTACAGGCTGGCAGGACCTCAGCACCGCCTTCCTGGAGCACAAAGAACAGGTGAGTTTCACCTGGAGGTTCCTTTGCAGGAGGAAGCCATGTTGAGTTTCCATTGACGCTCTGGACTGTTTTCCTTTATGTTATAGTTTCGATATTTTGTTCTGATAAACTGCGGCGCCAACGTCGACCTGCTGGAGATGCTGCAGCCAGACAGCGACTCCATCTTCTTCATCTGCGACACCCACCGGCCCGTTGACGTCGTTAACGTCTACAACGACACCCAGGTGACGTAACCTGATTATTGACGACTTGATTTTATTTCTGTTGGCTAAATGACCTGAATTTGTACAAAATTTTATCTAGTCTGGTCAAAAACATACGAGTTAATTTCTATTTCCAGACTTTATTTTCTCTCCTGTTGTTTACAAATTGTTTTTCCTTCTTGTTTCCTTCCTTCCCAGCCTCCTGCCTTCCTTGGATACTTTGTCCCCTCGTCTCTTTCTTCCCTCTCTTTCATTCCTTCCTTACATCTTTAGTTCCTTTCTGCTTGTTTCCTTCATTACGTTCTCCGTCCTTCAATTGTTGGATCCATCCTTCTCTACTTATCTCTGTCCTTGAATCCTTCTGTCCTACTCCATCTTCTATTTCCATCCTTTCTTTGTTTCCTTGCTTCCTTCCTGTTTTACTTCTTTGTTTCCATCCTTTCCTTCCTTTCTTACTTTCTTTCTTGCTTCCTTCCTTCCTTTTGTTTCTAATCTTTTTTGTTTTGTCTCAAATGGGGAAATCACATGATGGCGTCCTTCTTGTTTCATCCTCCGTCTTCTCCTCTGCAGATCAAGCTGCTCATCAAAGAGGACGACGACCTCGGCGTGCCGACATACGATGACATCTTCCGGGATGAAGACGAGGAGGAGGAGGGCGAAGGCTCTGGGAATGAGAGCGATGAAGGCTCGGAGCCGTCGGGCAAACGGAGGAGATTTGATGAAGTGAGCTGAGCGTCCGGTCGGCGGCGGCGGAGCTGAGGACTGGAGCTGACCGTTGTCGTGTTGTTGCAGGGCGCCATCGAGAGGCGGATCGAAAGGCAGAGAGCAAAGAGGCAGTGGGAGGCCAGAAGGTGATCAGTTGATCCGTTTCATAAAGACACAACCTCCATTTTCTGTTTTCTCAAATCTCTTTCACGTCTTTGTCGATTCTCATCTTCTCCGATTATCTGTGAAACAAACTCTTAGTTATGCTACGTAGAACTGGGTGATATATTTTAAAAACATACTTTTCAAACAAGATGGCCGCCACCTGACATCACTCTGAACTATGGAAACCCGAGGAGTATTGGTGGGGGGAAAAAAAATCCAGATTTTCCAAAAATTAAATCTTCAAAACCAGAAAATTTGATAAAGCAATTTGTCACAGCATTAAAAGATCTGA